ATGATTAGAGCTAACAGCACCAATAGCAAACAAACAAACCTACTTTTACATTTATAATATTAGTAAGGTTATTAATAATTTACTTGACTAGATAGTAAACCACTTAGTGAAAATATTCTAGTTCCTACATCGTATGTGGCATTCTAAGCTTATCATGAATCTGTTCCATATGCCCATGTGTTCAAGACCATATTCTATGGTGTCTTTGTGCATATGTTAGTTGGTATCTAAACATGTCACAACTAGAAAGATTGTATCTTGCTTTGTTTATGAACGACAAGTAGAGGTCACGAGGTCAGAGTGGATTAAACTTACAGATGTAAGATTAAAGCCGATTTAAGACCGTAAGCTTTCACAGTAAGGATTATAATGTATCATGTACTCGTAGGTAATTTAATATGAATTGGTGATGAAAAAATGATGAGATAATTATAGGTAACCTGTTATTAAGATTTTTTGTTTAATTACAATTGGTTTATTTCACGTCAAACGTGCGATAACTTTTTTTAAGCGGAGAATGGTTTTTTTTTGTAGTTTAATTTCTTACTTGTTTGATTTGTTCAAAAAAATTTAATTAAAAATGAATTGTGATTGAAGTTTATTTCTGGTTATTTTTTAGAAAATAGGGTAAACACAATTGTGGTTTGAATAAAATAAAATTTAATAATTTATGTGATTTTTCGAAAGATAGAAAGTACAAAAGGAAGTATAAATTTTCCTGTATTTTACACTATCTATATCTTGAATAAAATTTCAAGCGATTTTGTTTTTTTTTTTTGCAATTAGTGGAGGTCACTTTCGTGTCATTTTCATATTAATTTTGTTAATATTATTTAAATTTTAAGGTTAATAATTTTGGCATTTGTCTTTACAATCTATGGGGTTTACGTCTGTATTTGACCCATCTTAATTTTGACCTTTTTAAAATTACTTTTTTTGCGGAGTTTAATCCTACTATTTTTATATATATTTCTGCTTGTTATATTAACAATTGTGAATAAGAAAGTCTGTTAGAAATGTAAGTTCTTTACGGTGATTAGAAGAGGGTAATGTATTTTATTCGTTTGTAAAACACGTTTCCTTAGATGTGAGTACATACACATTCACTCATAGAAATTATATTTAAAATGAAACATAAATTTTATGTAGCTTCATACGTACCCTTTGTACATATCTCTCGCGTCTTTCCTAATTTATTTAGATGGTGATCTTAGTCGTGGTAATCAGTAATTTTCTTTCTATATTCTACCCTTCACTCATACAGTTTTTGAGGGTTGAGAATTGATAATGGAAAGCAACCAAGAGAAATACAAGCTTTTAACCGTGAGATCATTCGCGGGACTGGGATGTGATGGGATGGGATCGACCAGAATAAATAGTAGCCTTCTTATTTTATGTACTACGTGTATTTGGTATATACAATATAATATATATTTTATATATATAAGAGCCACCATCTAGAAGGTAACAAACAAACAAACTTACTTTCACATTCATAATATTATATACAGTAACGTTATTGAGACAGTTAAGAGAATAGAACAATGGAATACTGACGATGATGATGAGATGTAAAAAGAATGTTTATTTATATTAATCTGTAATTTTATTAAATTTCAGAAAAACAAACATATAAGAAAGATTTATATTGTAGATAACTCGAATGCAGCATGCAAGCTTCTTGGTAGCAGAATTGTATCTTTGCGGAACTAAAAAACATCATCAAACATCATCATCACCAGTTAACTGTCCACTGCTGAACATAGGCCTCCCCCATAAGGGAATTAAAAAACCATTGTACACGAATTATAACAGGATTTGCTTTGTATAACCCGCCGATGCGAATGTTACACCCTCAGTTTGAAAGGCCTATTCAACTTGGTAGGTTAATCGAAGCAAATTCGATTATGACTCGTGCAATGTAGGCATTTTAACTGTACTGGACCTATAAGAGTAATATTACGCCCTCAGTTTGAAAGACCTATTCAACTTGGTAGGTTAATCGATGCAAATTCTACTATGAATCGTGCAATATAGGCATTTTAATTGTCTTGGTTTTATAAAAATAATATTACGCCCTCAGTTGGAAAGGTCTATTTAACTTGGTAGGTTAATCGTAGCAAATTCTACTATGATTCGTGCAATGTGGGCATTTTAACTATCCTGGATCTATAAGAGTAATTTACGCCCTCAGTTGGAAAGACTTATTAAACTTGGTAGGTTAATCGAAGCAAATTCTACTATGATTCGTGCAATGTAGGCATTTTAACTGTACTAGACCTATAAGAGTAATATTACGCCCTCAGTTTGAAAGACCTATTCAACTTGGTAGCTTAATCGAAGCAAATTCTATTATGACTCGTGTAATGTAGGCATTTTAACTGTACTGGACCTATAAGAGTAATATTACGCCCTCAGTTTGACTTTAAGACAAGAGACTTTTTTACACGACCCGGACGCTAGACGTCTGCGTTTTCGTATCTATACACAAAATATTAGACCAATGTTGAATTATAAGCTTAGTAAATATCAATCATATGCAGAACAAGATGGATATCGTGACTATGAAAGGTCGTGCTCCATAAACAATTTGATCAACTAGTTCGCCTTTTTGAAACCGGATTACAATTACTTTTATTAACTAGACCCGTTATTGGAGTTTAATTGTTCATTATGTACAAAATGATCGTAAAAATGTAGGTAACTATCTTTAATTTAAATTGTCAAAAAACAAGTATAAGTATGGTACGTGTTGGTATGTCTAGATAGGTGTTTGACAGCATTCTGTATTTTAATGAACAAAGAACATTGATTCGACTTATTTTCTTTAATTAATTTAATTAAACATTTATATTTATACTACAGATAAAATGATAAGACTTCTTATTTTTTTTCTTTTTTATATGTCTACTAGTGATACGGATTGGTTTTGCACGGGTAAATTAAATTTTTTATAATAATATACCATATATCCTATGTTACCTGCTGATAACGTAGCTTTTTATAGATGAAAGAATTTTTAAAATCGGTTGAGTCTTGAAAAACGTGGAAGTAATTTAAAGTTGATACGAAGTTTCTTGATAACAGCAATAAAAATTAAAACAATATATTAGAAATTTTGTATGTCTGTCTTTATGTTTGTTGCGGGATCACACATAAACTATTTAGATCAAATTGAATGCAGTTATTACACTTGTATTCCTGATGGTTTTACTTAAAATCTGGCGTACTTATAATCAATGGATGAGCAGCAGCGTCCCTCTTAAAACATAACTAAAGCGTAACTGCTGTTGCCAACACGCCTGCCAAGCGTGGCAACTAATGGAAAAAAAATGGTTAAAAGCTGATATGATGATGATGATGATGAGTAATAAATATGTGAACATCTTTAAAAACAATCTCCTTTATAAAATTAGAATAAAGTTATAAATAAATAAATATTTAAAAGAGTTTGCGATTTTTGTTGTATTGTGATGTTTGTGATGTGATTGTGATTTGTATTTATTAAAATATAAATTTTTAAACACAAAATAGATAATTATTTTATTACTTATTTACACGGCTTTATAATACAAACCAACTTTATTTGGGCTGTTTATTTTGTTTTTGTATATTGTTTTTTGGGCGTTTTTGTTATTATGGCGCGTTCCCGTGTCTGTGACTCAAGTATTGAATGCGTCATATTATAAGGACACGGTTGTTTACTTGTAAGTTAACTGATTTTGGGAAAAGTACGGGTTCAAACGAGATTTGTTTTTTTGTTTACAACCGACTTCAATAAAGTAGAATGTTCTCAATTCTGTTGTATTTCTGTTTATGTTTGTCACCTCATAACTTTGTTATTTATAAACCGATTTGGAAAATTCCTTTTTTATCTGAAAGGATATACTTTCAGGTACTATAAGATGTTTATCCAAATAAGTTCTGTAGTTTAGTTTTTAATTAAAAATAAGTCGTTTTGTCACGAATGAAGTTTTTTTTGTAGCACACAATGTTAAATTATTGATTGTATATTTACGTGAATATACCGTAGTTGCAAAACAATGCTTTATGGACCTTTTTTTTCTAATTTTCAAGTTAAAGTAATAATACACATTTAGAATATTTCATTAAAATTAGCTGAGCGGTTTCGTATATTAGTGTGTACAAATATTGTGTCATAGTATTTTTTATATTAAGATTTAATTAATTAAGAATAAAATAAAATTTACTACAAGCGAAATAAAGGTACATGTTTACATCAATTATTAAATATATTTTTCTTAATTATGCAATTAAATCTACTGTAAGTAACTGTGTGTAATAATTCATCAATGACAACCCTAATGTCACATTTGTTTATTTTATTTATATATCTACACTTTGTTGCACCATTTAAAAAAATAATACATACATTAAAAATTAATAAAAAGTGGATTATAAAGGATTTAGAATAAAAGGAAGAAGAAGGAGGAGACTTAATTTTTTTTATGTAAATCTGCGTTTATTCTACATTTTACTAATATAATAAATGTGAAAGTTTGTAAATAATTTTTAGTCTTTACGCTTAAATAGCTGAAACAAAATAATGTAATTTGGTACATAATTTGACCACGTCCTACATTGACATAGAATATTTTTTATTTCATTTCAGATAAATTCTGTGCCAATACAAACATACTTTGTTAAATAAATATATCTTTATCTCTTTATCTCTATCTCATTTCACGCGGAAAATCCTGCAAGTCCTACCTAGCTACAACTAACAAATAAATTAAAGTAAAATATACATTGCATAATTTGTATCACTAATATAAGTAACCCTATACTGTATATATATTAAAATACTATATTAAAAAATATAAAAAAGTCTGTAGTTTTTTATTTCCTTAAATTTAAAAATAATTTTAGAGAATCTAAAATTTTGTTTAATTACATTTATCACTTGTTTAATTCCTAATTTCCTAAGTTCCATATCATTTATCATTAATTAAATTAATTGTTATAAATAGTCAACTCACCACGAATCCAATACAATAGTGCCGCGCCATTGTTTTACTAAAATATCGACAAAAAATCGTATATAAACAGCGAGAGATACGTGCGTGCGTGCGGTCCGGCGGTCACTTATCGAATTCGGGCCTCGGTCACATCTCGCCAGCTTTTTGCTAAATGCTCCGCGGCTGGAATTACTATGTGCAGCTTTCACGAATGCAAATAGTCACCAAAACTCATATGTCACGTTTATAAAATGTTCGAGTTAGTTTTGCTAAAGAAATGAATGGCGATTCTATCAGTTTTAAGGAATTTAGAAACAAATATGTACACGTACGTTATTTGAAAATTGCATTTTTGCAGAAATGGATTAAGATCACGAATTATTGTTAGTAATAATCAAATTATTTATTTTATTTATTTATTTATGGCAACAAACAGTGATTTACAAAATATTGATACAATATACATTACAGTTTTACAGCAATAGACCTTACAGTGCCAATAACAGTAATTTAAATATAGAAGTTTCTTGATAAATTCCCCTTCCTTTAACACCCCTTCCTTTACCGAGGGGCTCATAAGGGGCAACTAAGAGAGTTTATGGTTGAGGGAAGAGCAGCAGCGTCTTTCTTGAAATATCACCAAAAGCCAACTGCAGTTGTCAACCCTACTACGGGCAAAACCCCTCTTATGGGAGAGACTATGTCCAGCAGTGGACAGTTAAAGACTGATACAACAACAACGTATTAATTACTACTTCAGGTATTAATCTACAATTTCTTTATAATAAAATTAGGTTTATTAGTCAATTACTACAAGCAGAAACGTCACCTATAATCATAATATTATAATAGACATTTTTCACTATCTATTAGATTTAAATATAGTAAATATTATGTATGTAGGAAAACCAATGAAAGAGATCACTTTAAGTGGCGTATCAAATTAAAACATACTTCAGTTTTTGAGCTAGACCTACAAGAATACAATTTTAATAAATTCATAACCAATTTGATGCAGTTGTTTTTGCTTGATGTCAAAACAAATATACAGACAGGTAAACAAAGAGACAGATGGACACGATTTTTAAAAAAAAGATCATTATATCAATTTTTCTTAAATAATTTCCATGTACAGACATCGTCTAGTTACAACTTTATTGTATTAGTAAGATAAGACATTTGGTTTTTATAAAATGAAAAAGTTATTAGGAAATGGATAATTCTATTTAATTTTGATTCGAGTATTTATAGTAAGGCCACAGGGATGCGAAAGGTGAAAGTGGTTTTGCTTTGCTGATTAATATTATTCATATATCGATTTTATAGAATTACTTAGTTTATTTTTTATTTTATACTAAAATTTCATACGATTTAGTTTTTAATTTTAAATATTATAGTCTTCTGTCAGCAATCACAAAGATGTTAATTAGTTAATTAGTAGTGCTAACATTAGGGAGAATGTATATTATGCTAATTTCTTTTTATATCTTAACCAAAGTGTGAACATTTTGTTTCTAGTATTTATAAATACCTATCTTAGTGAAAAACTATTTCCCTATTATTTATCATTATCAAATACACATTAATGGGGGGGGGGGGGGAAGAAATTGTTAACAATGAAGTTTGACAGTTCCCCTTGCTAGCAATATGCCTTATTAGGTCGACCTCCACGTGGTTCCCCCTGGAAACCATCGTGAACAATTCTTGTTGAATTCGTCACGATGGGCTAACTGACCTACTTCATCCTCACCTATCATCCTTCACTGGTGCCCCGCCGGTGTATACCGATGGCGCGGGTGGGGCTACCATTTCATTATCATCCATTTAAAAAAATACACATTCATGGGAGGAAAGGGATTGCAAGTAATGAGGTCTGACCCATTGCTAGCAATACACCCTATCAGGTCGACTTCCACGCGGTTCCCCCAGAAAACCATCGTGGTTAGTTCTAGTGGAATTCATCACGATGGACAAACTGACTTGCTTTCATCGTCATCTATCATCCCTCCCTGTGTCTCGCCAGCGTATACCGATAGCGCAGGCGAGTTTACCATATCATTATCACCAATTAAAAAAATAAAATACACATTCATAATAAAAAGAAAAAAAGGAGCGATTTTTTTATATTCTAACATAATATTACCATGTTAAGCTTACGTTGACAGATTCTATAGTTAATACTCAATATACCTTCTTCGATCTGAATAGACAACTCTAAAATAACAGTTAGTAACGGTTGAATGTGTTGATTATTTAATTATACCTATATTCGGCTGTCATATCTACGTGATATGTTCTCAATTATGTTTAATTTTCTGAAGATCATATCGGAATTTAGATTACGTCGGTATTTAAGTAACATTATATTTACATGCCACCTTTCTTAAATTGATATGTATGAATATTGTACATACATTACTATATACATAAATACGATATGTTTCGCGGGTTTCGTAAGAGATTAACCAAGATTTACCAGAATTCATCACGGTAGTGACACCAGAGGGAGACTTTATGCAAAAGTCGTTTGCTTGGGCACCTCTGTCCATCAGAATAGGCTACCCTTTTCTTTTCTGTGGGTGTTGTGACTAAGGGAGAACGAGAGATGGTCAGCAGCGTTTTAAAACATATCTAAAGCATAACTGTGGTTGCTAATCCGCCTGCTAAGCGTGGCAACTAACAGTCGTTTGCATGGGAACCTCTGTCCCATTCGTGTTTCTACCGTGAAGCAGTTGTTTGCATGGCTGTGTTTCAGTTTTAAGGGTGGGATATAATAGTGTATTTACAGGGTACAGAGAAAAGAGAGAATGCGTTGTCATACCTGAGTCCTCAGGAATGACAACGTATGGGGAATATAATGGGCATAACAGTATTCTCTGTTATGTCCATGGTAATGCGCATGTCTATAGGCGACGGTTACCACTTTCCATCAGGTAGGCTGTTAGATTGTCTGCCATTTTAAGTTGCATAAAATATATAAACAAATAATGGCATAGTCAGAAAATAGTATAATAATATATGTTTGTCAATAAAATTAACATGATTTATCGTAGATTAAATAAAAAATCACTAAAAATTTGATTATAACGTGTTTTTATGCATTTTTTGTCGATATCGATAGACTTTTTTATGTGGTCGCGCGTCACTCGATGCTATCTTCGGATGTTTTCGATCGGAGTCATTAAACTTGAACTTGATCGAGCAATAGTACTGCAAACAGTGTTTTCTCATATATTTTTTATGTAATTAATTAAATTAAATTCGTAAATAAATTGCTTTGACAGGCGGCCATAAATTTTGATTATAATTTACAACGTGCAATTTATATTAATTGTGTAGGTATGCTGTAATTTAGCGCATAATTATTATAATCTTACGCAGGCATTTTAAACGGCATGTGAAGTTTTTGGAGATCTTCTAATGAAATAATGAGAACGGTCAACTTTTTTTTAATGTTATTTGATTTTAAACGACTTCAAAAAATGGAGTACGTTCTCAATTAAGTTTTTTATGTTCGTTACCTCATAACTTCGCCATTTATAAACCATTTTGAAAATATATTTTAATTTGGAAGGGTATACTTTCAAATTGATCCCAAAGATTTTTTATGAAAATCGGTTAATTAATTAAAATAACTAATACTTCATATGTATCTAATTTCATAATAGGTTGAGCCGTTAAGACGCCAAAAAGTGTAAAAACAGAACAAAAAATCTTTCATGATAAAATATTAATTATGATAGTCGCAGCCATTAAAATAACTTGTTTCTATTTTTTACGGGATTAATATTTCAAATGAACTAATTCACAATAAAGCTACTGATTAGTTAGCGCAGTAGGTAATTTATAAAAAAAATAATGGAAACGTTTTAATGAAATATGTACCTGTTTTAAAATCTTTCACTGTCAGAACACATAGTTATTTTTCAATGAACCTACCTGTCATCAGCTGGATTATGATCAAACGAAACTATGAAATTACAGCTTGTTGGTCTGTAGTATGGTTAAACAGCAAATAAGGTATAAACAGCAATGTGGTAGCTTTAAATTAAGTTAATTGAACTAAGGAAAGTTGATTCCGGTGGCGACGCTCGCGGGAATGGAAAGGAGTCCGTCCTTTCACGAAGTAATGAGGTTCATTTGGAATTAAAACGAATATTTTCTGGGTCTCAATAAATCAATCAGCAACAATTTTTTTTAATAACTGTGTCTTGATTTGACTATGATATTCTTTGGTTATAGTCTTTAGTTAAATTAATTTAATAATAAAAATAATGTAAATAAATCATGGAGTCTAAATAGCAATTTACGATATATTTTTTTAAAATAGATTACTAAAAAAATTGCAATACAGACAACATAATAAAATAACCACAAAGTAAAAAACAAATACAAAAATAACATTTTAAAAATTGTATTCATTTTATATATTGTGTTATTTTCATCATCATCACGGTCGTCCCTAAAATCCGCGCCGTGATGTTTTTTTTTAATGGGTGAAAATGGAATGGCAACCCCGCCCGCACTATCGGTATACGCTGGCGGGGTACCAGTGAGAGATGATAGGTGAAGATAAAGGCAGGTCAGTCGGCTCATCGTGAAGAATGTGACAAGAATTAATCACGATGGTTTCCAGGGGGAACCGCGTGGAGGTCGACCTGATTATTTATAATAATTTATACATAAGTTAATTGGTCACATCATCAAGTGTAATGTGACGTCATCACACCCATATTTTAGAGCGTAGGACTACGAGGCCAGTAACGGTATGTGGATACTAAATCCAAAATGGTCACTCTCGTATTGGTCATAATGTATAGATAATAAGAACGGTAGTGGCCATAAATTGTTTTTTTTTTTCAACTGCTCTTTTTTGGTAATAGCAACAATTAAATAGTTGGTTGTGTTGTCATATTTTAATTATTTCGATTCGTTGTATAAACGGAATCGTTTCTTTTATGTTTGACTTTTAAAAAAAAATTACATTGTTTTCTATCCTAACTACTTAGGTTTTTAACTATATTATTTTTATTATACTAAATTAAAATTACACTAAAAAAAACTTACTTAAACATTTTATTTCCTTAACTACAAGTAACTAAATTATTTTATTAATTAAATCGAATCAAAGTAAAATTATTACAAAATCATTTGCATCAATGTTTGCTCTTTCAATAAAATAACTGACAGTTCTTGCAATAAAATAACTGACATCCAAATTTTTTTCTATTATAATACATTTTTACATGATTTTTTTTTATAACTATTTAACTTATGCGGTAGATACTTTGAGAATTTAATTTATTTTGAACAAAATCATTAAAATGAGTTGTATTTTTACATGTAATCTTGTAAGAATTGGATCTATACTTTAGTTATAAAAACATTTTTAATAATAACTGAAATAAGTATTTTTTTAAATACTGTATTTTTTCGATAAAAACAAAAGTTTAAATAAGATATTTACTATCTAGTATATAAAGTTATACTTTCGAAACTATAGCATTTTAAATACCAAAACCTACGATTTTATAAATTTAATTATATTTTTCTGACTAAGATCACATTTTTATTACCTCTGACTTTCAAAGTTTAAATGCGATTTTATATCTAAACTATTGAAGAATTTATTTAATTTATTTCTAATTATGAAAAAAAAATTGCAAATCGCTTTAAACTCTAAACAGATAATAATATTTGCAATACATCAGATTTACGAGATTCTCTATTCTTCTGCGGACTCCAAGTAGCCGTCTCACACATCATCATATCCTCTTCCACTTTCCCAATAATCTTCACTTCGTGTTTTATTGTATTAGGTTCTTTTCTCTTGCCCACATTCCGATCGGCACGGTCAACATTTATCTCTTGATTGATATGAAATACGTTTTTGGACGGTTCCATTGCTGTATCGTTGTTCTTTCTACTTCCTAATCTTATTTCACCATCTTGGTGTGTTACAGTTCCTCGGATATTGATTATAACGGTTGGTTTTACAACTGTTTGTGATTCTCTATTACCAACTTGACTTTGTCCCGCCATATTGTTGTACAATGGAATATTTTCAGCAGGTGGTATTTCTACTTCATCTTCATCTGCTTCCTCATTTTGTTTGTTTTTAAGTGGGATTTTGTTTTTATTGTTGGGTCGATAAGGGCGATTGGTTTTTTTAGGTTTTTGTGTAGTTTTAGGTTCTGACGTCGTTTCTATATAGAGCACAAACTCTTCTTTTGGACTCTCGTTCTTCTCGGTCGTATCATTATTCAAGCTTTTTGGAAATCTGTAGTTCGTCGATGGCATTTCTACACGGTCGTTACGTCTCGGCACAAAGCCTCTGTCAATTGCAATTTCTGGAGCTTCGTCTTCGTAACCGTATCTCTCGTAGTTCTGCGATAGCTTATTTTCTTCGTTTTGATTAAAATCCTCCGGTAACTGAGCGTGAATTCTTAAAGATTCGATGACGTCACGAAACAGGGATCGCTTTTCGTGTTGCGGGGATACTTCCCGATCTTTTGCCGGATGAGCGCCGCACAATATTATCATGTATGTAACACAAATGAAACACTGCATCTGTAACACGAAATTGAATCTTATAAACATATGTAGAGTGACAAAAATTCATTGTTATCGTAACAGTATTTGGTGAAAGTACCTATGCGAAGATTACTTAGTGTGTACAGAATAAGAAAACCAATGTGTTTGTTTGAATTTTATAGACCGTGGTCCAAAATTAACGCCCGCGTGTTCTAATAACCTAGTCGTGTCTAAATTATGGTGGTCATTATATAATAAGAAGGATTTTTTTATGTACAACACCTAAACTTAGTCGTAATAAAAAAAAAGACCTTATGCTTTTCACTATGAATAGCTAAAATAAGTTAATTGTTTACAAAAGTAAACATTTCTGGTATTTATGATGACTTGGCAATTTACTAATTGGAAATGAAATTTTTAAATCACATAATAATTGCTGGTATATTATTTTTATATTTGAATCTTATTTCCATATGTCCGTTATAATGTTTTGTCATTAATTAAAAATTGAAATTTTTAAATACAAACAAAAACAATCATTAATAAATTCTTATTATTAATAAAAGTATTTGTATTATCAGTGGATTGTGCCCACAATAGTTGAAAGGTAAACCAATATATTTATACCTCTGCATCACCAATTTTGTCTATTTGAATGCTGTAAAGAAATTACAATCACTTTATTTAAAAATAGTGTCATAGCTCTTCTCTAGATATTAGGTTTTTCGCTTTTTAATCTAGGTGCTAGTAAATTATCACAGAGGGATTTTGTTCAAAAATTGCTGATTTGCTTGGGTACCTCTATTCCATTCGTGTTTTAACCGTGAAGCAGTTTTAGACATGAGCAGTACCATGGACATAACAGAATATACTATTTGCCCCGTGATACTTCCCATACGTTGCCATTCCCGAGGACTCAAGTGTTCTTTCTCTGTACCCTATAAATTCACTGCCATATTCCACCCTTCAAATCGAAACACAGCCATGCGAACACAACTGTTTCACGGTAGAAACACGAATGGGACAGAGGTACCCAAGCAATCGACCTACAATACAACCTAAATAAAAAGATATTTATTAGTCTTAAATTTTGTCATAAAAATAAATAATAATAATTTGGCTAAGATGAAATATAGTAGATATTTACACTCCTAAAAAAAGTTCAATTGAGAACAAAACAGAAAAAAACTATTTTAAAGCAATCTTAAACTTTAAGTACATTTTGACAGACATTTTCTTCTCCTACTTCCTTCTTTTTGAATTAATTAAAGAATAAGTTGTTGAATAATTATCGTGAGTTTTACTGTAATATTTACCGGTTTTTTTTTTATATATAAAATGTAAAATATATGCATGCCTACATCTTTTAAGGCACTTAAACAGGTGCCAAAATAATACCACGTGGCTTGTAATAATTTTAAACTGTTTAATGCAAATAAACTTATTTTAATTTCATTTCAATAATAATAGTAATTATTAGTAGTAATAGTAATAATAATTAATGTCGGCTTAACTCACGACGCAGCCGTGAACCGCGCTCATGAATAAGGGCTCCCATTGATTTTGATACTAGTCTGGCATTCCCTAATTTTTACACGTAAGTAAAGCCGATATAAATAATTATAAAATGGTAAATTAATGTAATATCTACCTTGATCGATGATAGAGAGCGTATATCTTGTGCACCTTCCCAGCCGCCTGCGCCCGAGTGGAGTGCGCTGCAACCGGGAAGCAATGGCGAGGGTTGATTGACCTGCACTGAACTATGTCAGGGCTTTTGCATCATTTCATCTAGGAATATTTTTAGTTCAATATTTATTATGAATCACCACAAACATTTCTTTATCAAATCGCTTAATTACAAAAAAGAAAGTCCTTACTGACTGAATTCTAAACTTATTTTTCAGTTTGTACGTTACTGAGCCTATTTAGATGATTATTGGGCCTAATTTATTAATTTTGTCATAGCTAATATTGATACTGTAAATATTCAGAATAGCCCGTCTAGCAGTTCCTTCAAGAAAAGATTAAAATCATTCTATCTTTCCAATTTTGTTTAAATATAAAAAAATATTAGAAGACTGTCATCATTTGATATTTATATGTTGTATTTAACATACATATATGTATATATAGGTTTATATTTATATGTATGTATTATTATTGTATCCTTCTAATATATATATATATATATATATATATATATATCTTTTTGAGGCTATTAATGAGTATTAACTCTAGTTTTAGGGAATGGATTTCATTAATTAATATACTGTATATATATAATTATTTAAATAATACGATATAGTATTCTATGATAATTAGGTTATAATTTAGAAATAATAAGAAACATTTATTTTTATCCATTCAATCATAATACCTAACTGTAATTTTATAATTATAATATTATAATTATATAAAATACCAGACAATCATAACTTTTTATGTAAATTTGTCCTGTTTTGATTTCTTAAACACTAAAGTTGTCACAGAATCTCAGAATAAAAAGTGTTTCAATTTGCTTAATTTTAGATTTTATTAAGAGAAATTGAAAGTATCATAAATTTAAATTAGATCTTTAAAGAAATTTAAAAGGAGTTATTTGACGATTTTACATTTTGTTTTCGAAGATTTCTTCAATGATTCTCGTTTTAAAGAGATTCGCAGTCGCTGTCTGGAGTTTCGTCGGTTATAGATGTTATTTCTATCATTGTTATGGAATTTTACTTTTTCTTTTTTATACAACTTAAAATGGCAAATAAGTTAACGGCCCACCTGATGGAAAGTGGTAATCGTCGCCTATACACATGAGCAGTACCATGGACATAACAGAGTATACTGTTTCACCCATGATACCCCCTATGCGTTGCCATTTCTGAGGACTAAGATGATATTCCTCTGTACCCTGTAAATTCACGCCATATCCCACCCTTCAAATCGAAACACAGCCATGCAACACAACTCCTTTTAATTATACATATTTGTTATTGCACTGATGCTTTCCAGGTTAAGTGTATAGGAAGACTGTAAAGTTCACCCGGTGGATGAAATAAATAAATAAATATATGGTAATGGGAATGATGGATATTGTATGTGTTAAAGACGGCCCTTCAACGCATATCATGCAGTTTTGTGGATATTACGAATTACACTGTGAAGCTCTTAGAGTTTCTAACGCATAAGTACTATAATCACTTGGCCACAACAGAATATCAGTGTTTTGCTCTTTTGAGGGCAAAGCAGAAAACTGAGTTGTGACCATTTTGTGTTACTATGACACACGCATGAAGGAAAAAAAGAAAGGAAATTGTTGTTTTCTATATTTTGCTTTTTGTTTTTTTTTGTTGCTTTTTTATTTTCATTCTTTTGTCTCTTTTACTGTGTATTATGTGTATGTTTGTATTGTAATTTGTGTGCTGTAAGTAATGTAAATAAAATATCTATCTATCTATCTAATCTTATTTAGATAGAGTATTAAAACCTAATATCTAAAACGGGTCAAAATTCTGCCAACAAAATGTCACTCTGGCTGATTGAATTTTAAACATATATTTTTATGTGCTTAAGAAGGGCCAAATTAAAAGTACCCGTAACCGGCGAGCGTGTATGAAAAGATTGATGAATGGGGAGGAAGCGAAAGAGGTTTGTTTGAATCGAAGCATTTGGCGTTCCATTGTTTCTGCCTACCCTAATGGGAGACAGGCGTGACAGATATGTATGTATATATATATTTTTTTTAACATTGAACATCGGGCGTAATAGTTGACGACACCTGACTAGAATTAAATAGCAACTTGTCCGTCTCAGCTAGGGAACTGCAAGATTCCTGACATCCGGAAACTAGCCATATTTTGTTGTCTATGGCTTAGGTAGTGTTGTGCTATTACGATTCTATTTGCACTATATCATTATGTTAGTTTTAAAACCATTCATTTTGAAAATAAATATAAAAAGCGTGAAATAAGTGAAGAAGAATATCAATAATAGGAATGGGGCCAATACCATTGATAGTATCAGATCGTGGTTTTTGTTAAGATTTCTTAATAGAATTTATTATATAGTGAAGCGGTTAATTGAAAAAAGCTGACGTATCACCTATGAGACGTTTCGAGAACATCTTTCAGTCGTCAACACGTTTCGACTGGGGGGAAAGGGATTGTTAGTAATGGGATCAAATAGCCCTATTACTATCAATATACCCTGTCAGGTCGACCTCCACGTGGCTCCCCCTGGAAACCGTGACTAATTCTAGTTTAATTCGTCAGGATGGGCTAACTGACCTACTTTTATCTTCATCTGTCATCCCTCACTGGTGCCCCGCCAGTGTATACCAATAGCGCAGACGGGATTACCATACCATTATCATCCATTAAAAAAAAACACGTTTCGACTTTTGGCTATGAAGCACACAAACGCTACGGTAGCACGAGTATTATTTTAGCAGTTATTTATACGCATTAGCGTATAAATAAGTAAGTAAGTAATAAGTTTATAAGTATAAAGTAATACATTTTGTGGCTAGTTGAAAATGACATTAATGTTCTTGCAATTGGGGTGGTGCTGCGTTTGTTTCGAACTGGTCTCGGACGACGCTTCTCCTTTTCCATTGTCGTCGAACTTGGGTATTCTTTTTTTGATGGATGATAATGAAATGCTAACCCTATCTGCGCTAACGGTACACGCTGGCTGAGCACCAGTGAAGGATGATACGTGAGAATAAAAAGGCAGGTCAGTTAGCTCATCGTGATGAATACACTTGAAATTCAGCACGATGGTTTCCAGGGGGGACCACGGGGTTGTCGACCTGTTAGAGTATATTGTTAGCGATGGGAGTGGTAATTTGCATTACTAACAATCTCTCCCCTCCACTTGGGTATACTTGTGAATGATAAAGTAAACACTTGCTACTGTTAAATAACCATGCAAGAACCACAGATTTATGATAGAAACACGAGTGGAACAAAGGTATCCAAGGAGCGTGAATTTACTGGGTACAGAGGAATAACACCTGAGTCCTCAGGAATGGCAACGCATGGGGGGTATCATGGAGTAAACAGTATACTCTGTTATTTCCATGGTACTGCTCATGTCTATAGGCGACGGTTACCACTTTCCATCAGGTGGGCCGTCAGCTTGTCTCCCATTCTAAGTTGTATAAAAAAAACCTACATTCATACAATGTCTCCCTCCATTGAGTTTATTTTCTCTACAATAGAGTCCGTATTGATGAAGTCAAAGTTAGTATTAAATTATAGTTTTCTTTATAAGAGATAAAAATATTACAGTCATGTTTTTAAACGTTGCCTATTCAACCAACAAGGAAGTGTTATTTTTTAAGAACTGTCCCGTATAAATACTTATTCGATTTATAGCACATACGTCAACATTTATTTATTACTAGCAGTTTACGTGGGCGAGTTTTTAAGAACATTAATAGGTTTTGTTCTTAATTTAGTTTACGTATATGGAATAAATTGTTAAATCAATTTATAGCCCAAGATCCAGCTGCTGATATCTGTAATCTACAGACTTTTTTATGATCAACAGTTCTAACTACAATAAAGACCGATTTATCATTGTTCTCATTTTTGCTATTATCCGTCCACTGCTTGACATAGGCCTCCCCCATAGACTACCATAAGAAATGGTCCTGAGCCATTTGCATTAGTGTTGTGAAAAATGAGCTCCGAGGCGGAAACTCGAGCTCCGAGTCGAAGCTACTGAGTCTTCAAAGCTCGAGCTCTGAGGGCTCGCAAGTCTTAAAGGCTCGAGTCTTGAAGGCTCAAAAGTCTTAAATAAAGGGTTCGAGTCAAAGCTCGAGCTTTATTTATATACCTGATAATATTAAAATGAAATAATTTTATTTCATTGTGGTAAGTACGTATAAAATGAAATAAAAGGATAGAAAGTAAGAAAATTTTATTATATAATGAATGATAATTCGATTTTTAACCATGCATCTACCAATGCTTCTACCTTCTCCCAAGAAAGAATTCTGGCTTTCTTCGGAAAGAATGCTGGCCATATAGAATAAATTTTATCTAAAGGTCATTTATGTTCACTTGTTGATTTTTATGTTTTAATAAGGACCCAGATGATGCCTTTTCGTTTTGTTCACTCTGTATAAAATCAACATCGCCATGATGTGATTAATGCCTTTGCAAAATGGAGTGCGATGTTTTAATAGAAAATATATGACAGCATACCTTGCACAACAAATAATATTTCTATTTGTGTTTCTTAAAATGACACCATTTCCAACAAACACGCGGCTTTTTCGACACCATAGAAGATGCTGAAGCATCATTTTCTGTAAGCGAAGTATCAGTAGTATCAAACTCAATGTCTTCCGATGTTACATTATCTTCCTCAATCATTTTGTAAATCTAACAAACTTTAACCAGTAAAAACTACAATAAAATGTATTTTTATTTAAACCAGGCAAACTGCACTACATGAATGGCGTATACAAGTAATTATTACAATAATATTAATAGTAATGTGGGTAGTTCTAAAACTAGCGATAACACTGAGTCGATGATTCAATGAGTCGAAGACTCGGGAAACTCGAGCCTTTTAACAACTCTAGTCATACATATGAGGTCAAGAAAAGAGCATATTCCTTTTTAAAAGGCCGGCAGCACACCTGCAATGCCGTAGGTGTTGTGGGTGACCATGGGCGGCAGTAGTCACTTACCATCAGGTGAGCCGCATGCTCGTTTGCCCCCTGTGTTGTAAAAAAAAAGTCATATCTATGGAGTCATATCTATGAAGTCATATCTATGAAGTCATATCTATGAAGTCATATCTAGTGAGTCATATCTATGGAGTCATATCTATGGAGTCATATGTATGTAGTCATATATATGTAGTCATATGTATGTAGTCATATCTATGAAATCATATCTATGGAGTCATATCTATGAAGTCATATCTATGAAGTCATATCTATGAAGTCATATCTATGAAGTCATATCTATGAAGTCATATCTATGGAGTCATACATATGGGGTCATAGAAGATGCTGAAGCATCATTTTCTGTAAGCGAAGTAGTATCAAACTCAATGTCTTCCGATGTTACATTATCTTCCTCAATCATTTTGTAAATCTAACAAACTTTAACCAGTAAAAACTACGATAAAATGTATTTTTATTTAAACCAGGCAAACTGCACTACATGAATGGCGTATACAAGTAATTATTACAATAATATTAATAGTAATGTGGGTAGTTCTAAAAACTAGCGATAACATTGGATCGGCGCGTTTAGTTTCCTCTATAGGACGAGGTACAAAATTGTAATAAAAATATGTTATTCAGCAGTGAAATTAATAAAACATATTTATTAGATTTATTTTGGAGCAAAATGTTGTGTAATGAGCTTTTAAAACAGAGCTCGAGTCGCGACTCGAGCCTTGGGACTAGGGCTCAAGTCTGGGCTCGAGCCTTCGCAATATGGCTCAAGGCTTAAGCTCGAGCCTTCATAGGTGACTCGAGCCTTCAATGAGTCGAAGACTCGGGAAACTCGAGCCTTTTAACAACTCTAATTTGCATCCACTGACTCCCTTCAATGTAATTGAAGACGTCATTCCATAAAGCGGGGGTTCGTCTTACACTGCGTTTGTCCGTACAAGGTAGCTACTCTAAAACCTTTCTTTCCCGTCGGTTGTCAGTTCTTTGAGCTATGTGATCAGCCCACTGCCATTTCAGCTTGCTTATTCTTTAGACTATGTCGGTTACTTTATTTCTTTTGCGGATATCCTCGTTCGGAAGACTATATAGTACTAGATCGTTTTAATTTAATAGATTTTCTAAAATAATTATAAACAAAGTTAGTTATCACTTGTCAAACGCTATTCATTTTGTCCACCATTCTCTTATTCTAAAGGGCACAAGGTTTCGCGTTTAATTTCAAAAGATCTTGGCCTGTCTATTGGTGCATTTTATTTGTTTATAAATCACTACATAGGATATTATGTGATAATTTAAAATATATAATATATACAGAATGCCACGCCGATATACATATATGTATATCGGCTTAACACCAAGAGATCTGGAGGTGGTAGCCTCCGGAGTTGAAGCAATGCCTCGCCCGCATTAATAACTGGCGGGTTCTAAGAAGACCCTGATTGATTGTTTTAAAATATAACTTAAACGTTTATAGAATTTCATTGCAATCCGTTTTGTAGTTTTTGCGTGAAATAGTAATAAACATTCATCCATCAATAGTAATAAATATATATTAACAGGCTGATATTACTGACTTTTAAAACGCCTGATGTTTTCATATCAGCAAATTTACATGATGAGTAATAAACATACATATATGTAGTAAATAACCTATATATTTTTTTTTCAATGGGTGTAAATGGTATGGTAACCCCGCCTGCGCTAACGGGTTACGCTGGCGGAGCACCAGTGAAGGGTGATAGATGAGAGTGAAAACAGGCCAGTTAGCCCATCATGATGAATTCATCAGGAATTAACCATGATAGTTTCCAGGGAGAACCGCGAGGAGATCGACCTGGTTGGGTATATTGCTAGCAATGGGATTCTCAGTCTCTATTACTAATAATCCCTTTCCCCCCAATAACCTATATTACTGAATGATTTTAATATTAAGTTTATGCGATTATTGACATAAAAAATACACTCAGAGATGAAACGCCATTCTTATTTGTGGAAAAGCAGAAGATCGTCATTTACCAAAGGGAGACTTTGTACAAAAGTCGTTTACTTGGGTACCTCTATCTCATTCGTGTTTCAACCGTAAAGCAGTTGTGTTTGCATGGCTGTGTTTCGGTTTGAAAGGTGGGATATAGCGTGAATTTACTGGTGGTACAGAGGAATAACATCCGAGTCTTCAGGAATGGTAACGCACGGGGGTTATCATGGGCGAAACAGTATACACTGTTACGTCCGTAGTACTGTTCATGTCTATAGGCGACAGTTACCACATTCCATTAGGTGGGCCGTCAGCTTGTTTGCCTCTGTACTCTGTAAATTTACGCCACATCCCACCCTTCAAACCGAAACACAGCCATGCAAACACCACTGCTTAACGGTAAAAACACGAATGGGACAGAGGTATATATAATGTATAATAATTTTGACTTAAATCCTAAATATTTGATTAGCTGTTATTGTAGTTATGCGTTTATAAAGTGAGATTGCACTTCTATTTTCACCCAAAAGAAAAAAAAAAAACAATGGCATAATGATTATTTAATTTTACTTATACCAACATAGAATATAAAACTACATACAATTCCCAATATAATCATTCTGAATAGGCATATATTAAGAAAACAACACAATATATTGTATAGAATTAAATGCATAAGTTTTTAGTCAACACTAAGCGATGAAAATTTTGCAGGTAAACAGTCCTATTGTGAGTACGAACCACGTCGAAACGTCGACAATAAAGGAGCAAGTATGTAGGTACTATTTACCTGCAAAGTTTTCATAGCGTTAAATCCCGATAATGTATTTAAAATACTTGTAAACGACACGAAATATTCTCAAATGCACTCATTTATACTTCTTTTCTCCAGTCGGATTTGAAAATTGTCGACATGTTTCATCATAATTTCATACTTAACCTCAACGTTTGCTTTACTGGCGCAGGAGTTCAGCTCCTGATCTTCTGCTGGCAGTATCCGGTAATTTCTTATTATGGTTGCAATAACGGTCTTCATCGACATCATTGCATATTGATACCATGTAATCAATATTTTGTATTGTATTGTAAAATGTTTATTGTACATACATTATATTAGACATATTAAAAAGATTTAAACATACAATGGTAGATTTATCCCATAGGGGGGAACTCTTGCAGTTAACCTATGAGAGCCTGAAAGAAAGCTATAGAATGTTTGAGTGTAAAAACGCTACAGCCAAAGATAAAACTTACAATAATTTTTAAAATAAAACATAATGTTCTATACCTAGTGGATAGTTATAAACTGACAAGACTGTTTAATATTTTCTTGTAATCATAACTCTTTGAATATTTTATTATATATAAGCATTATTAAATATATCATAAAATTGTTTTCCATATGTGACATTATTGTCAATAAAAAATTGAGTATGTAAAATAACATGTTTATTAATATTGGGTTATAAACTTTTTCTTTATGCAACTTAGAATGGCAAACAACCTGACGGCTGGGGGGAAATGGATTTTCCCCCCGGAAACCATCGTGGCTAATTCTAGTTGAATTCGTCAGGATGGACTAACTGACCTGATTTCATCCTCATTAGTCATCTATCATTGGTGCCCCGCCATTGTATACCGATAGCGTAGACGGGCTACTATATCATTATTACCCATTAAAAAACCTGACGGCTTATATATATATATATATATATATATATATATATATATTAATATCAAAAACCGACTTCAATTGTGATAACACCAATTATTTTGATCTAAAAACTAAACTATAGCACTGATTTTGTGATTTTGATATAATTGCTATAACACCAATCTGTAAGTACATCCTTTCAGATAAAAAAAAATCCAAATCAGTTTAAAGTTACGAGTAACAGACATAAAGAAAGTACAACCGAATTGAGAATTTTCTTCTTTTTGAAATCAGTGGCAAATAATTAAAATTTAAAATAAATTACCTTATCCACAAAATTATTTAAAAGCTGAGAGTGTTCTATGTACGTAGAATATTTGGGCATAAATTTGTAAACCGATGGCGGGTGGAGCCAGGGTCTAATGAATCGAGCGGCTGACATTTGGCAAAAACCATTGAACGCCTTTAGAACTGGATGATTTATATTTCTTTGAGCATTTACATTAACTCCCATGGTGGTTTCTAAAAACAGAAGTATACACGAGTTACTTACATAAATTTTCTTAGCCTTATTCGAAAATTACGTATGTACACTTACGAGCGATGCACCGGATACTAGTAAGGATAAAACTCGACTGGATTGATGGGGCCATCACATTGTGAACACGAGGAATTGGAGTAAATCGGATGTTTTACAAGAAACTGAGGCGAGTAAAACTCACTAACAACAAGAAGCAAAGCGGAAGCAAGGGATCGGCGAAGCTAAAAAATCAGAATACCGCATTAAGACCGTAACTGGTACATTGGGCGTTACGGCTTTGTCGATCTCTTTAATCACCTGAGAGTAGAGATGGGCAATCCACCTGGGTGGGTTTAAAGTCTGGTGGGTAAAAACCGGGTGTTTTGGGTTTATTGGGTTTAAACCCCATAAACACCCAAATTTTTGGGTGTTTATGATTTTGTACTTCATCATCGTCATCTCAGCCGCAAGACGTCCACTATACTGGACATAGACAATATTATTATGCAGCCTACAGAATAAAAAACTTTTAATTTGATTTTGAGTTTATTAAGAAAGAGATGAAAGTAAAATGTAAAACTACAGTCAATCACTGTCAGATTCAGAGTTATTACAAGCGATGAATTGTATAGGTTCGATAGGCTCTATTTCGTCTAAACTGTTATGTTCATTTACTTGCTCAATGAAAGCTTCTAAGGTATTTTCTTCATTAAACTGAATGTCCTCGCATTCAGCTTTATGTTTAAGATTCCAGTTATAACAAATGAATGAAATTTTTTCAGTTCTTTCAGTTGTAAGTCGATTTCTTTTGTTATTATGTATGTAGCCTTGGATACTAAAGGAACGCTCAGTGGCTGCCGAAGTACAGGGAGCTGATAGAATACGAATCGCTACTTTGCTTAACTCAGTGGAACCACAAATACCTTTCCACCATATTAGGGGCTCAATGCTATCTAATGAGCTCCATACAAATCCTCTGGCCCAAAAGTTTTCTTTAGCTTTATAACACGCCAAATCTGCCATTACATTTGACAAACTTAAGTGTTGGCTTAAATTGTAGATAAACTCCATACCCTTAAGTTCTTCCTCTTGAGTAAGTTCGACTCCTAGAGTCCTGGGGTCTAGAATATATGCTGCAAAATGTATTGGCCTCATTGCCATATTGCATCTTGAAGATACTGATGTTAGAATCTGCTGTTTGCTTTCTTCGCTCAATGTCGAAATCTCATTTAATGCAAAACGTATCTTAGCTTGTACATCTCTAAATGTAATGTATGTGCGATGCAAACGATTCTGGTCGCTCTCTAAGTAAAATATGCTTTCAGTGACTGGTTCCAAAATACTTATACATTCCCCTGTCTTCGTCCAGAAATCATCACTTAGAATTAAATCTTTAATATCTCTTGAAATTACCACATCTTCTCTAACTGTTAATATTTGCAAAGCTATCTTATTTGCTTTCAAACTTTTTAACGAAGTAACATGACTTCCCCATCTTGTAGCACAAGGCAATTTTAGTGTTTGTGTAGAATCTTCACCCTGCCTTGATTTTATCAACAAGGAACTTAATCGTTGACTCCTTTTAACAGTTTTTATTATATTTATGGCTTGCATAATAAACACAGTTACTTCTTGTATCTTTACAATATCTTGGCACAACAAGTTAAGGATATGTGCACAGCAACCGAGAGGAACAACATGTGGATATTTGAGTTTTGTTAATTCGAATGCCTTTTGTATATTTCTAGCGTTATCGCCAATAAGTACAAGAAACTTATTTGCTCCATACACTTTCATTACTTTTTCAACTTCTTGGCTAAGGTATTCACTAGTGTGAGGATTACTTTCTGTATTCAAACTTTTAACGTATGCAGGTTGAGGTTTTGATATAAGAAAGTTTATTATTCCTTCATTTCTTAAATTAGACCAGCCATCGCACTGAAGGTGTAAGTAACTACAAGCATTTAGTTCCTCATTTAACTCAAAACGCATTTCTCTATATATTTTATCTAAGTATTTTGTCGCTAAAGCTTTACGTGAAGGTATTTTAAATTTTGGTTGCAATTTTTCGAAAAATTGTATCCATAAAGGATGTTGCACCATCGATAATGGCGTCCCTGTTACAAATATAGCTCTCGCTAATTCTGTTTTTATATGATCATCGGTGTCTTGAAACTCAGCATTTATTGTAGTGTTAGCAGACGACGAGGGGCTTATAAAAGAATCATTTGTCTCTATCTCTGACAGTCCAGACATTTTGGTTTTGGACGAGCTATCTTTTATAAGTTTCATAGAGTCTTTTAATGTTTCTGGAGATTTTGGACAAGTGATAAGATGTTGAAGCATTTTGGCAGCATTACTGAATTTGTAGACCTTATTACAAAGCTTGCAAGAAACAGACTTGTTTGGTAAAGTACGGTAGTGCTCCCATATGCGTAAATCTTTAGGTCTCCCCATTGAACCTAAAAAAATGAACGATGATTAGTTGGTCTGACGAAAATTCAACAATAGAGTGCCTATTTTTTTACAATGATTATTTCTTGTTATTTACAATAAATTTATTAAAAAAATAATAAAATAAATACAAAAAACCTTTGTAAAATTACATCTCCTCGGAGGATTAAACGCAGACGCTAGTTTATTATCGTATTGTTCTGTATTTTTCTCAGCAACTTCTTTAATTCGATTAGGTACTTACGCATATTATGTTAAAAATAAATATCTAGTACACATCTTAGGCTATCCACCATTATTATCCAATGACGACTCTCAGCTAACTATGCACTATCATCCAAAATAAACGTGTATGGAAAATTTTATCCCAGTCGGTTGAGGATTGAGGATAATTGCATCAACATACGAACATACCTACATACTTTTATTTACATAACGCAAGCTAAATAAAAGCTTGTAATAATACATCTAATTTTAAGTTAAAATTGTTAAGTGATCATGATATAATTGTATCATTCAAAAATCCACTTACCTTTAATTATTTCTTGTTAAGTATAAATATTATTTCAAATCTGCTCCCTTAATATGCACTTTTTTACTGCTTTTCCTACCTAACACGTTACCAGGAAGTCACGTTACCAGAGTCAGAGTAATAGTGAACACGTTTGACAGTGATTGTCGTCGCCTCATATTCAGCGTCAACGAATAGGGGAATCCCCAGTCATAATGTATTGCATGCGTGGCGGTCTTACTTCAAATCCATAAACAAAGAGATAATTACAGAACTCGATACTAGATGGCGCTGTTTTTGTTTGAAGAAAGTTTGCGGGCTAAAATACATAGAATTTCATCAATGACTTCCACAAAGAACAACATTTCTGTTTTTTCTAAGTCCGTATCTCTTCCGTATATTTCATAAGATATAAGCTTGGGCTACATTGTTATGCAACGTGATTTTGTCGCTGTCTTGCTAGCAGGGTTGACAGATATACGATTTAAATCGTACTCATACTATTATTTGTCTATTTTTTAATGTACGATCGTAAAGATTATGATCGTAATTCGCACAAAAACATATGACTTTTTGGTTACCTGGCAACATTTTTATTATGAAACGAACATGCTCACATCATCAGTCACATGCAACAATTTATTGGGGATTTCCCCTTCACATCTGGCAGTCCTGCTTGCTAGAATATAGGTAAGTCAGCCACAGTTACTGACGATCGATATTTAAAGGGTATTGTTTTTGTGCTAAATATTTCATAAAAACGTTATTTAATACTTTGTGGATTATTAATTTAGTTGATAATCACTGGAAGTAAAATGGATGCTAATTTGAGAGATCAAGATCTTCGTATAAAACAGTTAATAAAAGAAAATCTACGTAAGTACTCTTTTTATACCTAGGTAGGTAAGGTATAATAAACACAAAAGGTACTTAGATCGCGTGTGTTCGAAGCATTTATTCTAATAAATTTAATTTAAAATTGTAGAAAGAAAAAAATGTCTGCCAAGCCGTAGCCGAAGCCGATCTCCAAATATATTTGGCGATAGTGAGACCCAGTGTCCAGATGATTTACCCAGCGTCGTCGCAACAAAGAAAAAAACGAGGATAAAGTAAAAGAAAATTTACTGAAAGAAGAAACAAACTGTTCTAAATGCTTAATTTATGGAGAAGAGGATAAAAGAAATGAGTATTTCGGACTGTTAGTGGCTCAAGAATTTAAATATATACGGCCATGTGTGCGAACGAGGTGTTATGAAGAAATTTTAAAGTATCTACGGGAAGCAAAAGGCCAACATGTTGATCAACTGCAACATGAAAACACTGAAAATTAATTACTTTCATTTTATTATATATAGATTTTTAAAATTTCCTGAAATATTATTAGTTAACGTTTTATTTAATATTGTAGAATTGATCAATACAATTTATAAAAATAATTTATTGGTATTACTTACATATTTTCAAAAAAATACGTAAAAACCTATTTTTTTGGGTGATTATGGGAGTTTATGGGTGTTTATTGGGTTTTTACCAAAGCACCGGGTTTAAACCCGGTGCTTTGCCCATCTGTACCTGAGAGGCATTTAAAAAAATATAAAGACGCTACACTATAGCATGGAGCAGGCAGAGTAGAGCTTTTTTTTGCAAAAAAAGTTGTACTCCTGTTTTCTACTTGCTGTGCCTAACACGATCCATAATTAATGTTGAAAGTGTCATCTATCAATCATATTATTATATGTAATACAATAAGAAATAAATAAATACATTAGAAATAATAATTACATTAAAAAAATTTTTTTTGTGAATTATTATGTCATTCTAAAATGAATGCATAATTATATTTATTCCCGTCAAAGATAATGTAAATATGACATATAAGAAATAATTAATACATAGAAAACAATAGGTGACCTCATCAGAGAAGCGACCTCTCGCAGACAAATCTCGAACGGAGAGGAACAATTATTGCATATTCAAAGCGAATCACTAATTCATATTATTTTTTTGCCCGCTATTTTGATTTTTAAAGTCTGAAAACTAATGATATAGACCATTAATAGATGTTGTATTAAGACCTAATATAATACAACTGTATCGAATTTGGTGCAGGAGTTTTTGAGTGATGCCGAAAAAAACATACAGAAAGACAGAGAGGGAAAATTACTTAAAATTATTCTTTTGGCTTCTATCAGTGTTTACAAGACCCCTTATATCAATTTAAATATATCCCACGTATAGTTACAATTTTATTCTATTAAATAAGATAGTAACTTTAAAAAAATATAACTAGTAAAGTCAAAATTAGGAAAAATAACAAGGATTTGAGAACCAGGCTTATAAACCATGTTAACATAAATATATAAAGACTTAAGGACCTAGTATTCCCGATATCACGTAGAAGAAAAACCTTTCAAAAAGGAAACCGAGAATATATCTTACCACATATCGAGTCCATAGAATATGTAGTGACATAATTGAAGATCGAGAACTTCTCCTTTCCAGCCACTGATTGCAACTGGTCTGCTAGTATTGCACTCTGTTTGTAAAATATCTTCACGAAGTTGTTCAGAGTTTTCTGTCCAAACGTCGGAGCGAGGACTTTGCGACGTGGTCGCCATATCGTTACTACAAATTTAATTGTCATGTTAATTTCGCTTTTCAATGATTTTACAAACAGACATGTGCAAAATATTTTTTTTTGCATTTTTTACACGAAAGAGAGACAAGCTAATATGCACTTCATTTGATAGCAAGTAACTCATTTATTTTTTATTTGCCGTGTGGTCCCGGCATAGAATAGGCCCTTTCTTTCCCGTGGGTGTTGTAAGAGGTGGCTAGGGAAGGGCGAGGGATGAGCAGCAGCGTCCCTATTAAAACATCTTTAAAACCTATCTGTGATTACCAAACTGCCTGTCAGCGTATTCCGTTAGCGCAGGCGGAGTTACCACACCAATCTGCCTACCAAGCGTGACAATTACTGGCAAAACTACCCAAGGGGGAGGCTTATGTTCAGCAGTGGACAGATAAAGGCTGATATGATGATAATAAAATAAATTTTGCATTTTAATGATGACAGACAAACTAATATGCACTTTATTTGATAGCAAGTAACTTATTTATTTTAACTTCAACGCACAGTGAAATTTTATGTACACTTGTAATCATTTTAATGTTTAGATACTAAGATCAGAAATTTCGCTGTTATGATGCTGGCCTTTTAAAAAGCTATAAAACTCTCTTCTTTAAAGTTCCCATGTCGTGTTCTGAAAACCATTTTTTCGATCTTCCTTTCTTTTTAACTTCCTATTTTTTTATTTCAAACCCATCCTAAATTTCAATTAGGGTACAATTTAGCTTACCTGGTGCAAATATGCTCCCGTTCCCAATCAGCGGTCGTGCAAGATCCATCACCTCATCTTTTTCGAGGCTTGTCTTCATTACTTTATCTGCAGCAAAAGGATCTGCTACATCTGAATGGAAAATAATAATATTTGTATGGAAAAGATAAATAAGAATAATAATAATGAAGAAAAGAGAAAAAAAAGAAAGAAGGAAAGAAAGAGAGACAAAACGAAATATTTATTTAGTGCTCAATTTTATATTTAATCACAAAAACTATTTAACATTAAACAAAAGGAAAAAAAAATAACTTATTTATTTATTTATGTTTTTGCACTTTATTATTCTTATTTATTATTCTTTTTTTATTGTTATTTTCCGGTAATACTTACTAACATACAAATTATTTCCAAACCAAAAACTAGTGATACCATTACGTTTATATGCTTCATCAGCTAAAAGTCGAAACGTGTCCATTGGATCTGAAATTACGAACTTTAATTATATTTTGTTATTTTTTAAAATAATATTATATATAAATGGTTCTTATATTTTTAATTTTTATACAACTTAGAATGGTAAACAACCTGACGGCCCACCTGATGAAAAGTGGTAACCGTCACCTATAGACATGAGCACTGTACTACTGTTTCGCCTATGATACCCTCCATGCGTTGCCATTACTGAGGACTCGGGTATTATTTCTCTGTATCTTATAAATTCACTGTCATATCCCACCCTTCAAACAAAAACACAGCCATGCAAACACAACTGCTTCACGGTTGCAACACGAATGGAACAGAGTTATCCAAGCAAACTACTTTAGACTTTAGATTATTTTCAAATTTATTATAAAAAAGTAGTTGCTACGCTTAGTAGGCGGATTGGCAACCACAGTTAGGCTTTAGATATGTTTTAAAACGCTGCTGGCCATCTATCGTTCTCCCTTATTCACAACACCCACAGAAAAAAAAGGTGTGGCCTATTCTATGCCGGGACCACATAGCCACGTTATCATAGCAACAAAGATAAATTATATTAATAGAATTGAATTTATATTATTATCTTACCTTTACCCCTCCTGACGAAAAGCCACACGTGCCCTATAAAAGGGAGACATGTATATGGAAATGGTAATTGCTTCGATTATTTTATTATATCCCTATTTTTCCAACGCCACATACAATAGTAAACTGCCAAAAGAACTAAACATATTTGCCACAACATTATTCTTAAATATTCACTAAATATTAAATAAATAAAACTATAATTGTTTATCAAAAATTATTATGTCAGTTTTATATTTTATATTTTTGTAAATATTATTGTAATTGTTTATCACAAATTATTGTGTCGGTTTTATACTTTACAATATATTTTTATTATAACAAATGAATAATAAAAAAGATTTTTATTTAAAATTATAACTTTATCAAACATTTTTGTGTCACTTTTATATTTTATAATATATTTTTATAAATATTACTGTAATTGTTCATCACAAATTATTGTGTCAATTTTATATTTTACAATATATTTTTATTATGATATTATTTATATACAAATAAATAGTAAAAAATATTTTTATTTAAAATTGTTACTTATGAATTACGATGTTCGGTTACACTAAACCAAGTTCGACGTAGCATTGAAACTTTATAGAGTATACCGACATGAGCACCGGCTGAACGACGTGATTTTAAAAACATTATTTGACAAACGAATTAGTAGTATCGTAGTTTTCTTTTTTTTTAAGCCGTTCTAAGGTATTTATTGTGAATATGAAACAGTTTTTATTGACTCTTTTTTTACCAATCTGTTGGTTTAATCCAGTGTTGAAAAAAGTATGAAAAAGTCATAGAAATGTTGTCAAAATCGAAGATTTCTTATGGAACACAATTTTAATTTGTATTCTTTTTTTTTTGAAAAAATATTAATTTATTTAATACTAGTTTCTACTGCTTACATCTCAAATTTAGTTGAGTTATTAAGGCCTTAAATGTAATAAACAAACTTACTTTTTTTTACTTAATAAATTAATAAGTAAATAATATCATTATCATATAAACTATTAACTTATGAACATAAGCTTCCCCCTTGGGGGATTTTGCCAATAGTTGCCACGCTTAGCAGGCGGATTAGCTTTAGAGATGTTTTAAGAAAGACGCTTCTGTCCATCCCTCCATTGGTTAGTCTCTTACAATACCCACGGGAAAGGGAGGGGTGGCCCATTCTATGGCGGGACCACATGGCAACTTATATAGAAACAAATTTTCATTTATTTTATACTTTATTGTACACACTAGCGATACATGAAGAATATGACAGTGGTAAGCATATGTACAAAGGCGAGCTTAACTCTAAAAGAGTCGGGTAGAGCAGTGTACAGTATTTTTTTTTGTTATGGGTGATAATGGACAGTATCCCACCCGCGCTATCGGTATATACCGGTGGGGCACCAGTGAAGGATGATAGGTGAGGATGAATCAGATCAGTTAGCCCATCGTGACGAATTCAACAAGAATTGTTGACGATGGTTTCCAGGGGGAACCACGTGGAGGTCGACCTGATAGGGCATAGGGCAATGGGACTGACAAACTCCATTGCTAACAATCCCTTTCCCTCCGGTGTACAGTATTGTGTCAAATTATATTTTATTACAAAAGTCGTGCATTTATGTTCTTTTGATCTTTGATGAACAACGCTGATGTACAAAGGCTAGCTTAACTCTAAAAGAGTTCTCTTCCAGCAACACCCAAAGTGGAAAAGAGCATCAATATTAGCGGATAAAACGGTGTACAGTATTGTGACAAATTACATTTAATTACAGAAGTCGTCCATTTATATTTCTTTGATCTATTCATCTTTCACCAAACAGACGTGATTGCATGACTGTCTTTTGTCATAAAGAAATTCATCATAAATTGATTAAGAATTTATATACAGTCGAATTTAGAATTTCCTCACTTTAAAGTCAGTTCTTTTTTGCTGGGTGATAATGGTATGGTAAACTCATCTGCGCTAACGGGATACGTTGGCGGAGCACCAGTGAAGGGTGATAGATGAGAATGAAAACAGGCTAGTTAGCCCATCATGATGAATTCATCAGAAATTAACCATGATAGTTTCAAGGGAGAACCGCGAGGAGGTCGACCTGGTTGGATATATTGCTAGCAATAGGATTCTCAGTCTCCATTACTAACAATCCCTTTCACCCCTACCTTTAAAGTCAGTTAAAAATATGATTCGAAAAGTTAATAATAACGCTTAGAAGGTCAAGGGGTCAGCAGGTTATTGATCTATATCAATTCAAGGTTTATCTAAATATTTGAATTAAATGACAAGAAATTAATTAATAAAATGCATTATTTATTTATTGTTTATATAGAAATAAAATTTGACAGGTATCTTTATAGTTTGAAATTTAAATTAGACTCCTTTCAATGGAGAAGTGAATCTGAACTATTTCTCCGAAAGAAACATGGCTCGAATTAGAATGGCTCCAATCACTATTAAATTAGTATACAGGTACGATATGGGATAGAGGGACAAAGGCTTCTTTTTATCTTGGTCAGTGAATATATCTCAGTCACGTGGATAAAGTTGCGTGACAGGAGCGAGAGATCTCCACGTGATCTCCCTGGAAACCATCGTACTGAGTCCCAGGTATATTCATCACGATGGGCTAACTAATCTGCCATATCATTATCGCCTATCATTCCTCACTGCTGCCCCGCCGGGGTATACCGTTAACGCGGGAGGGGTTATCATTCCACTGTCATCCATTAAAAAAATTTAACTTCATGCTGGAAAATATATAAATATGGAAAATAAATAAATGTACAGAAATTTTGACTTCAAGATTGAAGTCAAATAATATTTCTATTAGATAATAGAAATTTTATTTGATTAACTGTTATTGTAGTTATGTGTTTATAAAGTGGGATTGTATTTCTATTTTCACCCAAAGGAAAAAAAAAACAATGGCAAAATGATAATTTAATTTTACTTATATCAACATAGAATATAAAACCACATACAATTCCCAAAAAAATCATTTTGAGTATGCACAATCTGGCGTTAAGGCATGGACGTCACATTGTGCCTATATTTATCAATTTTTTGATAAAGTTAGCCCCAAATGTATTTAAACTTTGTTTTAGATAGTAGCCAACTTTATTATTACACGTAGGTATACTGAGAAAACGTAATATGTTCTAAAGATTTAAATGCATAAGTTTTTAGTCAACACTAAGTGATGAAAATTTTGCAAGTAAACAGTCATGGCTACGACGTGGTGCAATCCACGTTGAAACGTCGACAATAAAGGAGCAAGTATGTAGGTACTATTTACTTGTAAAGTTTTCATAGCATTAAATCCCGATAATGTATTTAAAATACGTGTAAACAACGCGAAAGTTTAAAATTAACTGCTGACACCAAACAAGATCAATAAAAATATATATATATATATATATATATATAACATTCTCAAATGCACTCATTTATACTTCTTTTCTCCAGTCGGATTTGAAAATTGTTGACATGTTTCATCATAATTTCAAACTTAACCTCAAGGTTTGCTTTACTGGCGCAGGAGTTCAGCTCCTGATCTTCTGCTGGCAGTATCCGATAATTTCTTATTATTGTTGCTATAACGGTCTTCATCGACATCATTGCATATTGATATCCTGTAATTAATATTTTGTATTGTATTGTAAAATGTTTATTGTACATACTTTATATTGGAGACATTAAAAGATTTAATATACATACTACATTATTTTTTTGTTTGATTTAATATACAGACAGACTTATTCCATAGAGCAAATTTTCTTAAAGTTAGGTCCATGGACTTTTAGGAGTGCATAGCATATATATTAGCGGACCGCAATAGGTCAGTTAAGTACAAAAATATTTATTAAGACATTGTGTATTAAACTCGACGTATCGGTGAATTCAATGAATAGTATATTATACTGTAATGTAATTGGTAGTTTACCAATAAAAGATTTTTTTACCTTTTTTTCTTTTCCTAAATAAAAAATCCAAAATTTTAGGACATAATTAAAATGTTTTTTTGACAGAGTTCCGTGGAATTGTTTAAATTGTGACAGTGGTCTGTGACTGCAAAAAGTTTAAGAAACTCTATAGAGGGATCTCTTATAGTTAAACTTTTAAAGCTGAAAGAAAACTATAGAATGTTTGAGGATAAAAGCTATACAGCTAAAAACTTAATAATACCTAGTTAAAATTGAGCGTTGTGTTGCAAACATATATATATTTATATATATATATATATATTTATTTACCATAATCCTTATTGATACAAATGCAAAAGTAATTTTGATTGTATCTTACCTCCTAGCGCCAATCAATCGCTATAAACTTTGGTAAACGTGAAGTATTTAGAGTTGCATAAAATTTGGATACGATTTAGGATTAGGTGGCATAGTTTTAGAATAGAACGTATCTAATATTTATACCTAATAAGGTACCATACAAACATACCTAAATTATGTTACTTGAGATCCCGGTCATGTTGATGAACTTGCAGTTAAAAACTAGTTCTTTATTAATAAAGGATAACTCACAACTTAATATCACACATTCTTTGTTTCCAATCTAAATCAATCTTGAATTGTACAAGATTTAAACTAATAGTTCTGGATATAACACAAAGTAACATCAAGTTATAAATTAAGCAGTACTAGTACTTCAACTGATAGACATATTCAAGGATTTTTTTATACAGATTCATGCACACATGCGAGTACAACCTCAGATATATTCCAATTAATATAATAAATGCAAATGTTTGTAACAATGGATGGATAGATGTCTGTTACTCTTTCATGTAAGAACTACTGAACGAATTTGAATAAAATTTAATGCACGGGTAAGTTATATCCAAACTTAGTATACAAGACACTTTATGCCTTTTTTACGCTAGTGAAGCAGTGGAATACAGTTAGTAAAGTATACTGACCAAGACAATTTCTAGGTCCGTAACTAAAGGGCATGAAAGCAGCAGGATGCTTTAAAGTGCTCTCTATGAAGCGTTCGGGTTTAAATTCGTTGGCGTCCGGTCCCCATATGTCTGGATTACGATGTATACCCCAAATGTTTATGGCTACTCCTACACCTGGTACCAGTGTCAGCCCTGATGCTGAAAAGATAATATTGTTTAGTAATATAAAATGTTTAATTTTATATACTATACTAGTATTGTAGAAAATTTTCATTAAAAGTGGTTTGATTAATTTTACTATTATTACAATAGATGATAATTGTTCAAATAATCAATTTGAATACATTACGTTAAATGTAGACGGAAAGAAATACCTTTGGTATCATGATTACCACAAAATTTATCAACAACTCTCGTCATGGTGGTAAATGAAGTATTGATTATGAACGAAATTTACACAACCATTTATTGGATTAAATCGCAGGAATAATAATTATTATTAAAAATGATTAAGTAAACGGAGGGAAAAGAGCGTAAACTGATTAATTTTAAACCACCATCTACAATATTGAAGAGAGCATTACTAACTCAACTATCAATTAATTAACAATATTATTTTTTTTAGATAACAATACAAAAATATTAGACAATGGAATGATAATTCCGCCTGTTTTATTAGTTTTCGCTGGAAAGATAAGTGAGGAGGAAGCTAGATCATTTGCCCTATCCTATCATATAATTTGATTATTGTATTCTATCAACTGTCCACTGCTGCACGTAGGTCTTCCTTATAGGAGGAGAGGGAAGGTCCAATAGTTGCTTGGCAGAAAACGCAGTTAGGCTTTGATGACAAATTCATTAGAAATTTCAAGCTTTATTGCTGAAAAAGACAATGCAAATATTATTATTAATATATTGATACTAACGTAAAGTTGTAGGCGTTTCAATTTTTCTCACAATAACAGGTACTGGTGGGTATAATCTTAAACTTTCTCTGACCACGGCATCCAAATATTTAAGACTCGGCAAATGATCCGTTTCGATCGGATGCTCTGAATTACCGCATACATGTGCGATCCTAAAAATTAAAATACAATTAAAAGTTGCAACCAATACAATAGCAGGCGTTTGAAAATTCAAGTTTGTAGAAATGTTGAAAATTAAACTTGTAATGCCATAGTGAAGCTAAGATAAATTTTTATTTCTATCACTATCATCAGCATTATCTGCTGCTAAGCATAGGCCTTCCCTTATTAGAGAGTTTTGCTAGTAGTTGCCACGGGTTGGCAAGCGCAGTTAGACTTTGGTGGCCTTTTAAGAGGGATGCTGCTACTCATTCCTCGACCATTGCGTTCCCTTAGTCGCATCTTACGACACCCACAGGAAAGGAAGACGTGGTCCATTATACCGAGACCACACAGCGTAATTACTTCTTAACTTAATAAAAAAATGAATGTAACTAAATCACAAAATGTAACTTCAATACTTAAAATTATCCGTACATACTCTTGGAATACTTTTTCTTGAATATCTGGATGTCTGGCAAGTAACAGCATTGTAAAGGATGCTCCAACAGCCGACGTGTCAGTGCCGGCGAGCACCATCACTAGTGTTTCTTCTCGTAATTCCAAATCTGTGTAGACATTGTTTTCTCTTGATGACTCGATCAGTAGCTCCAGAAATGTTTTAGTTTTTTCTATTGAATTTGAAATTAATATATAGAGAGAATTAGCATAATTTTAAAGTAGTATTCTGTTAGTGAAACTAAACATTTTCTTTAAATGTTTCCTTTTGCTAGCACAACATTCCATTGAAAGGATACTAAGTTTTCTGCATATAACAATAAAATTAGAAATTACTGTACTAACTACAATGTTTTGGTTTAAAGAATGAGATAAATACGTAGGAAACAACTGGATTATGTCCATTAATTCATATTAAAGCACAAAATCGTAGATTTTAGAACTGGGTTTTTTTACATGCATGAATCTTAAAACATTAACAAATTGACTGTTGTCTGCGAAGTGTGACAACTATTGGCAAACCCCTTTGGAGGGGTGGGGGAGGGATTGTTAGTAATGGGGATAAATAGCCCCATTGCTAGTTGAGTACCCCTAATACACCCTATCAGGTCGACCTTCTCGTGGTTCTACCTGAAAACCATCGTGATTGAATTATTGTTAGATTCGTCACGGTGGGCTCACTGACCTGCTTCATCCTTCATTGTGCTTTTAATATCTATAGGTATATTATTTCTCTTGACACACATTAAGATGGATGATCGTTTACAAGTATTTGTCATTACAGTTGTATTACAAATATAATGTTTTCATACTTGAATTAAAATTAGTTCTACCAGGTTTTTTTTAATAATATACATTAATAGTTTACAATGTACAAATGAAATTTTTATTTTATTATTTTGTATTGATAGACACTTACTATCATCGGGTTCCACGTTGTTGTTCCAATCATTGTTTATTTCTTGACCCTTTGTTTTAATGATCTAAAAAATATTAATTTACCTTTTTACATATTGTATAATTTCTTATCTTTGAGGGGAGTCTAAGTTCAGCAGTGGGCAGTAAACGATTGATATTACGTTTAATAATTTCTTCTTTGAACATTTAATTATAATAATATATTGTTATTAAGTACATCATAAACTTGTTTTTTACATGTAACATTATCATCAGTACAAAATTTTGCATGTAAAATAACATAATTAATATTGTGATAATGACAATTATAGATTGGGGCTCACAAAAAACCGACTTCAATTGTGACAACACCAGTTGTTTTGATACTGATTTTGATATTTATATAAGACCAATCTGTATGTATATCCTTTCAGATAAAAATATCTAATCAGTTTACAACTAACAGTTATGAGGTAACAAACATAAAGGAAAACATTCGATTTGAGAACCCCCTTCTTTTTTAAGTCAAAATAAAATAATTAAAAATAAGATTAATTTTCTATATTCATTATTTCTGTAACAATTTACCTTATCCACAAAATTTTTTAACAGCTGACAGTGTTTGACGTACGTAGAATAGTTCGGCATGTATTTGTAAACCGATGGCGGGTGGAGCCAGGGACAAACGAATCGAGCAGCTGACATTTGGCAAAAACCATTGAAAGCCTTTAGAACTGGATGATTTATGTTTCCTTGAGCATTTACATTAACCCCCATGGTGGTTTCTAAAAACAGAAGTATACAAGAGTTACTTATATTAATTTTCTTAGTCTTATTCAAAAATTACATATGCACACTTAGGTGTGATGCACCGGATCCTTGCAAGGACAAAACTCGACTGGATGGATCGCTGCTTGCCGATTGGCCGATTGCCGCCACATCGTGAACTCGAGGAATAGCAGTGGATCGCATGTTCTACAAAAAACTGAGGCGACCAAAACTCACTAACAACAAGAAGTAAATTCGGAAGCAAAGGATCAGGTAGAAGAAAAACCTTTCAGAAAGGAAACCGAGAATATATCTTACCACATATCGCGTCCATAGAATATGTAGTGACATAACTGAAGATCGAGAACTTCTCTTTTCCAGCCACTGATTGCAACTGGTCTGCTAGTATTGCACTCTGTTTGTAGAATATCTTCACGAAGTTGTTCAGAGTTTTCTGTCCAAACGTGGGAGCTAGGACTTTGCGACGCGGTCGCCATATCGTTACTACAAAGTAAAAGTTATTTCTTTTTTTTTTATACAACTTAGAATGGCAAACAAGCTGACGGCCCACCTGATGGAAAGTGGTAACCGTCGCCTATAGACATGAGCTGTAACCATGAACATAACAGAGTATACTGTTTTGCCCATGATACCCCCATGCGTTGCCATTCCTGAGGACTCAGGTGTTATTCCTCTGTACCCAGTAAATTCACGCCATATCCCACTCTTCAAACCGAAACACAGCCATGCAAACACAACTGCTTCACGGTTGAAACACAAATGGGACAGAGGTACCCAAGCAATCGACTTTTGTACAAAGCCTCCCTCTGGTTAATTGTCTTGTAAATTTTACTTTTCAATGATTTTACAAACAGACCTGTGCAAAATACAATCTAAACAAAATTTTTTACATGGAAGAGAGACAAGCTAATATGCACTTTATTTGATAGCAAGTAACTGATTTATTTTTTATTTGCCGTATGGTCCTGGCATAGAATAGGCCCTTTCTTTCCCGTGGGTTTTTTAAGAGACAGCAACCTGTGCAAAATACAATCTAAACTACATTTTTTACATGAAAGATATACAATATATACTGCCTATTTTTTTATTTAAAAACACTTACCTGGTGCAAATATGCTCCCATTCCCAATCAGCGGTCGTACAAGATCCATCACCTCATCTTTTTCGAGACTTGTCTTCATTACTTTGTCTGCAGCATAAGGATCTGCTACATCTGAAAAGAGAAACATAATATTTTTATGGAAAAGATAAATAAAAATAATAATAATAAAGAATAGAAAGAAAAAAGAAAGATGGAAAGAAAGAGAGAAAGAAAGAAATATTTATTTAGTGCTCAATTTTAAAAGGAAAGGAATCACTTCTTTATTTTGTATATTATTATTATTTTTTGTTATTTTATGGTAATACTTACTAACATACAAATTATTTCCAAACCAAAAACTAGTGATACCATTACGTTTATGTGCTTCATCCGCTAAAAGTCGAAACGTGTCTATGGGATCTGAAATTAATGATTAAAATTATTTTTTGTTATTTTTTAAAATAATATGTAAATGGTTATTATATTTTTCATAAATTTAAGTTACTATCTGACTTTAAGCATATCTTAGGTTCTTTTCAAATTTATTATAAAAAGGATATAAAACTTCAAAAAAAATTCATTTTCCTGAATATTAAACAGAGCAGTTATAAAAACGGCTAATCACAAAAAGCGACACGGGTAACTCATCTTAAGTAATTTAAAGATTATAAAAATAGAAACTTAATTTTTGGACAAAATTTTACAAAATATGTAAAAAATATTTTATTTTATTATGTATAATAAAATATGTATAATGTGTATATTATGTATAATATTTAATTAATTATGCATATAATTTTAATATGTGTAAAAATTTTATTTATGTCAAAATATATTAGATTATTTCATTAACAAATATGTTGTATTAGCCGTTAACTGTCTACTTTCCAGCAGTCTCCTCGATATCACGAATTTTGGTAGTTGTTGCCACACTTGGCAGTTGGGTTGGCAACCGCAATTTGGCTTTTAGTGTTTTAAGAGGGACACTGCTGTTCATCCCTACATCATAAGCTGCCTTAGTTGCCTCTTACGACACCCACAGGAAAGGAAGGGGTGGCCTATTCCATGTTCGGACCTACACGACGGATCAACAAAGATCATCATCATCCTTTATTATGTCAGCCTTTAACTATTCACTGCTGAACATAAGTCTCCCCTTAAGGGGGTTTAGTCAGTAGTTGCCACGCTTAGCAGGCGAATTGGCAAGCACAGTTAGATTTTAGATATGTTTTAAGACGCTGCTGGCTATCTCTCATTCTCCACTAGTCACCTTTTACGACACCTACGAGAAAGAAAAGGGTGGCCTATTCTATGCCGGGACCACACAGCTACGTCATCATGACAACAAAGATAAATTATATTAATTGTATTGAATTTAGATTATTAGAAAAAAATCTTACCTTTACCCCTCCTGATGAAAAGCCACGCGTGTCCTATAAAAGGGAGACATGTATATGGAAATGGTAATTGTTTCGATAATTTTATTATATCCCTATTTTTCCAACGCCACATACAATAGTAAACTGCCAAAAGAACTAAACATATTTGCCACAACATTATTCTTAAATATTCACTAAATATTATATAAATAAAAAGAACTATAATTGTTTATCAAAAATTATTATGTCAGTTATATATTATTGTAAATATTATTGTAATTGTTTATCACAAATTATTGTGTCGGCTTTATACTTTACAATATATTTTTATTATAAAAAATTAATAATAAAAAAAGATTTTTATTTAAAAATATGATTTTATCCAAAATTCTTGTGTCACTTTTATATTTTATAATATATTTTTCAATAATATTTATATATTATTGTAATTGTTCATCACAAATTATTGTTCGTTTTTGTACTTTACAATATATTTTTACTATAACAAATGATTATTAATAAAATATTTTTATTTAAAATTGTGACTTGTAATATATAAGATGTTCGGTTACACTAAACCAGTTCGATGTAGCATCGAGAATTTATAAAGTACTCGTATACCGACATGAGCGCCGGCTGAACGACGTGATTTTAAAAACATTATTTGACAAACAAATTAGTTGTAAGCTAGCTTGCTTACTTTTTTGTTAAGCCGTTCTAAGATATTTTTTGTAAATAGGAAACAGATTTTATTGATTGTTTTTGATAGTCCATCATGATGAAATAATCAGGAATTAACCATGTATATTGCTAGCAATGGGATTTTTAGTCTCCATTACTAATAATCCCTTTCCCCCCGAATAAAAATAGGTTGAAATTTTGTCTTTGGCTGTACAATTTTCACACAGGAACATTCTATGGATGCCTTTCAGCTTCTTTAAGGTTATTTATGGGTTAAGTCTATCATTGTATGTTAACTCTTTACCACGTTTTACACGGTTCTACATGGTTGCCCATATGCAAAAGCTTCAAATAAAAAATCGATGACCTTAAATGCATTGCAGGCAGTCAGTGGATGCAGGTTGCTCAGGATCGTTCCTTATGACAGTCTGTGGGGGAGACCTATGTATAGCAGTGGACAGGTATTGGCTGACATGACGATGTTGTATGTATTTTTGTTACTTTACTATATGGAGTTCTCTGTATATACATATAGGTACATCCGTCTCGTACTGGTGTCGTTTATTCATGTACATATATACTTAGTTTACATGCACCGGAAACATTATGTTTAAGTTTACTTATTTTGTTGAATTATTCGAAAACAATGTTAGCACAAATTTTATTTAACAAACACATATAATGAATCTCACGTTCATATCCAAATAAGGAATAATGATTTTTTTAACCGACTTCAAAAAGAATGAGCTTCTCAACAATCATTGGCCACAGCAGAATATCAGTGTTTTGCTCTTTTAAGGGCAAAGCAATAAACTGTGCTGTGACCATTTTGTGTTACTATGGCACACGCATGAAGGAACGGTAACAAAGGAGATTGTTAGATTATGTATTTTGTTTTTGTATTTTTTTTATTTGTGTTTTTTTTTTATTTTTATTCTTTTGTCTCTTTTGCTGTGTATTACGTGTATGTTTTTTTTTATTGTAATTTGTGTGCTGTAAGTAATGTAAATAAATTGTCTATCTATCTATCTATCTATCTATCTATCATTGATATGTTTCATCTAATTTTCACAACACCTTAACAAATTATACGCTTATATCTTCCTCAAGAATAATTCTGTTGTTAAATGAAAACTGCATGAATAACTGTTCATTAGTTTTTGAAATAATCGCGAACATATAGACGGACAGACGCGTTTGGGAGGACTTTGTCTTATAATATATAGTGATAACCAGCTTATATAGATTTATTATTTCAGTCGTTAATTGTCCAGTGCTGGACATAAGCCTTTCGCATAAAGGGAAGTTTCGCCATTAGATGCCACGCTTGGCAGGCGGGTTGGCAACCGCAGTTAGCCTTTTAGAGATGTTATAAGAGGGACGCTGCAGCTCATTCCTCTCCCTCCATTTGTTAGTCTCTTACGATACCCACAGGAAAGGGAGGGGTAGCCCATTCTATGGCGGGACCACATGGCGAGTGGCGACTTATATAGATACAATTTTTAATTTATTTTATACTTTATTGTACATACTAGCGATACATGAAGAATATGACAGAGGTAAGCATATGTACAAAGGCGAGCTTAACTCTAAAAGAGTTCTTTTCCAGCAAACCCAAAGTAGAAAGGAGCATCAATATCAGCGGATAAAACGGTGTACAGTATTGTGTCAAATTATGTATAATTACAGAAGTCGTCCATTCTTTGATGTATTCATCTTTCACCAAACAGACGTGATTGCATGACTGTCTTTTGTCATAAAGAAATTCATCATAAATTGATTAAGAATTTATATACAGTCGAATTTAGAATTTCCTCACTTTAAAGTCAGTTCTTTTTTGCTGGGTGATAATGGTATGGTAAACTCACCTGCGCTAACGGGATACGTTGGCGGAGCACCAGTGAAGGGTGATAGATGAGAATGAAAACAGGCTAGTTAGCCCATCATGATGAATTCATCAGAAATTAACCATGATAGTTTCAAGGGAGAACCGCGAGGTCGACCTGGTTGGGTATATTGCTAGCAATGGGATTCTCAGTCTCCATTACTAACAATCCCTTTCCCCACTATCTTTAAAGTCAGTTAAAAATATGATCCGAAAAGTTAATAATAACGTTTAGAAGGTCAAGGGGTCAGCAGGTTATTGATCTATATTAATTCAAGGTTTATTTAAATTAATATTTGAATAAAATTACAATAAAATAATTAATAAAATATATTATATATTTATTGTTTATATAAAAACAAAATTTCATAAGTAGATACCTTTATACTTTCAAATCTAAAGTCTTTTCTATAAGTAAGTCTGAACTATTTACCTCAAAAGAAACATAGCTAGAAATTATTGAGAATTCTAAACAAAAGCGGTGATATCTAGTTATAAAGATAAATTGGAGATCTCAATTTATTTCTGTAGTTTTATTTGTCTCATAAAAATAAGGTTGGATAAGTACTTTTAACTGTTGAAATTTAAATTATTAGAGAACTTTTAGGGAGTGTTTTATGGCAGTCTATGGGGAAGGCCTATGTTCAGTGTGGACTGATAATGGCCGAGACAATGATGGTGATGATAATGTAATTGTTTTGCCGCAATTGAGGGCCAAAAAATTTAAATAATTCTATGAAAATAATACCAGTATATCTGAAGAAATTATTATTCTTATAAGATGTCTACTTTTTTTTATACAACTTAGAATGGCAAACAAGTTGACGGCCCATCTGATGGAAAGTGGTAACCGTCGCCTATAGACATGAACAGTACCATGTATATAACAAAGTATACTGTTTCGCCCATGATACCCCCATGCATTGCCATTCCTGAGGATTCAGGTGTTATTCCTCTGTACTATGTAAATTCACTGCCATATCCCACCTTTGAAACAAAAACAGAAATCACGCAAACATAACTGCTTCACGGTAACACTAATAAGACAGAGGTACCCAAGCAAACGACTTTTGTACAAAATCTCTCTCTGGTGAGTGACGACAATAATTACTATTTTACTACAACTTAGACTTATTTTGGTCTATAACTACGATTAGAAACTGGACTGCAGAACAGAATTTATAACTCGATATTTTTAATTTCTTAAAAACTTAGAATTACCATATATTTCTGCTAATATTTACATATTAGTATAATTTTATAAGAATGATAAGCAAGCCGAAGTGGCAATGGGCTGGTCACATAGCTCGAAGAAGCGACAACCGATAGGGAAGAAAGGTTCTGGAGTGGCGAGCCCGTATAAGCAAACGAAGTGTAGGACGACCCTCACTAGTTGAAGTGACGACCTCAAATACATTGTAGGGAGTGGATGCAGTTAGCACAGGACATTTCTTTAGGGTTAGTTTAAGATGGAGGATTTTTTTTTATACAACTTAGAATGGCAAACAAACTGACGGTCCACCTGATAGAAAATGGTAACCGTCGCCTATAGACATGAGCAGTACCATGAACATAACAGAGTATACTGTTTCGCCCATGATACTACCCATGCGTTGCCATTCCTGAGGACTCAGGTGTTATTCGTCTGTACCCAGTAAATTCACGTCATATCCCACCCTTCAAACCGAAACACAGCCATGCAAACACAACTGCTTCACGGTAGAAATAAATGTTCTAAGTGGTCAATAAATTGAAATTAGATCAGATTTCTAGTTTCATAAACATCGGTGATAATGGATAAGAAATGGTATCATCATCATCATCATCATATCAGCCTTTAACTGTCCACTGCTGAACATTAGCCTCCACTTGGGGGGTTTGCCAGTAGTTACCACGCTTGGCAGGCGGATTGGCAACCGCAGTTAGGCTTTGGAGATGTTTTAAGACGCTGCTGGTCATTCCTCGTTCTCCACTAGTCATCTTTTACGACAACTACGGGAAAGAAAAGGGCGGCCTATTCTATGCCGGGACCACACAGCCACGTTATCATGGCAACAAAGATAAATTTAGGCAAGATAAATTAAGAAGGACTTACGACAGGCACGGGAAAAAAAGGGGAGGTCTGTTCTATGCCGAGGCTACACGGCAAGAAATTTTATTTGTTATTTGTTATTTTATTTTAATAGGTACACATTGCAGAGAATTAACATGGTCACATTAATTTATACAATAATGTTTTGTTAGCTAATCCTCCAAAAATATGCGTACACAGCATTATCGAAACATAAACACACGGCTAAACAAGAATGTAAACAGAATACAATTTATGCAACAAAAAAATATTTAACTTTTACATTAACAATTATAAAGGTAAATACGCAACAAACACATGGATAATCATATACATAAATATATTTCTATCTATCTATCTATCTATCTATTTTTATATATATATATTTATTTATTTATTCATTAGTACAAATATGTGTACATGGCGGACTTAATGCTAAAAGCATTCTCTCCCAGTCAACCATAGGGAAGTGTCAGAATACTCGAATGCGGTACTAGTAATTATTGATATACATACATACTAAAATTACATATATAAACGAATAAATATATATGAATAACAAATATACTTACGCATATATGATATATACTATATTATACACGAATTTGGGAATAATATAAAGCACTTACTGCTCGGATAAAGATAAAAAGTGAGCGTGAACGCTTTATATTTATATATTATAAATGTAAAATTTTCTTATTCTTTATTGAATTCGGAAGTATAATAATAATAACAATTAAAAATTATGTAAGCAAAAGTATAATTAATATAAAATTATG